CGCTTTAAGCAAGCTGAATTCTTGAATGTCTGGGTACAAAATCAACAAAAACTTGTTATTTTGTGATGGAATCAACAGTTTTTTTTAGTTGGTGCACTAACCCTTTATTCTGGACATTTTTATTAGTTCTGTAAAATCGTATCTCTAATATTGATAGTTTCTTGCTGTTTTCTTGCCAATTAATAATTGTTTACAATAACAAATTTGAATTCAGTTTTAATGAGGCAATGCGGGCAAACCGTCATTCATGGGCAGAAATTCCATAAGAAAACTTCWRCCGGTCTAAAAACGAAACTCGGACCAAAAACGGCATTTTTTTCTTTCAAATGAARWGAGTTGTAAACGATAAACTACAATGTGAGTACCMTTTTATTATCGTGACCCAAAAACGGYCGAAAAGCCCCTGATCGTAACAATTACCTTAATGGGTTGATCACAAAATATCCCCCCTGGGGGTATGTTCTGTGGGGTTGATCAAGTCTTTACCAGTGAATTTCAAAATAATTATCCCAAATACAATAAATTCAACTATTCTTTCAAATAGGCCTACAAAGTGACTTGGCAATGCTGCCGAAAATTTCTATCAAAAGAAGTTTCAAAGTGGCAGGTGGCATTGACGATATTGACGTTCATACTTGTCTTTATCTATTAATTACATGCGTGCTGTGATTACATGTGTTACTGTGTTTTACTTACACATTCTGTATTATCCGATAAGCACAATAATTCGAAACTTACGTTAATTATACATTTGGTCAAGGCCAATGAATGGATTTTGCGAGGCAACAACTCGAAAAATATGGATGGAACGAAGGTACCTTAATTATCTGACTGTTCATATAGGCATGTTTTACACAATTTAATTTATAACTAATCCAAACCAAACTCTGCTATTAGGGAAAGGATTGGGACGTGCCGAAAATGGAATTTCTCAAGCAATTAAACCGAAATTGAAGTTTGATAATGCTGGTATAGGTCATGATGCTGCAGAACAATTTACCCATTGTTGGTGGGAAAGAGCCTACAACAGTGCTAATAACAACATTGAAGTAAGTTTGTACTTTATGAAGTTCATGCAAGCGCCCCCGGCACGTGACCCCAAACACACGTTCATTAAAAAAGAATGCATGGAGAGAAAAGTTTTAGATATACCATATTTTGCTCTATTTATGAAGTCGCTGTTTGTGTTGGTGATTGCCCTTTGAGTTGAAATCGTCGAAAAACCCAAAGTTTTTTCCCAATAATAACACACTTCTGAAGCCCATAACCTAAGTTTTTATTGGTGCTGCTTGCTTGCTTAGTAAAAACATCTTAGGCTCTCATTTAATATTGTTCGAGATTGAATGCAAACAGAAATTCATGTGTAGTTCAAACATATAAATTTAAAAATTGTTCTAAATTACGATAAATATATTCGAAAGTTCAAATTAAACATTAAATTCGGCATTACTTTTTGTTATTGAATTCATAATACGAAATTTAAAATATGCATGTCTTTCGTAAACTTTAAAAACCATTAAGAACCTCTGCGAGACACACTACTGTTTGAAATACACTTATGAACCAAATTGTCGCACCAAGTATAAATTTTATTCCGATGGAACAGGCCAGTTTATAAGGCGATCTTTAATGTTATGATTTCGTTTAGTTTAATTATCGGAGACAAGGACAACGACCACAGCTTAGTCTTGAGAAACATGTACAAACTTAATTAATATACAGGATGGTTCAAAATTCAAATTGTCATTCCTCTGGAGGTGTTGCCTGGCGGTGTTTCCGAAGTACAGAAAAAATAGTTTAAAAAATAATTGTAATTAAAAAATTGAGAAATTTGCGGGAATTGGCGTCATTCGTCTGTAGATCTTGTTTGGGTTTGTAGAGAGTACAAAAAAATCTCACAAATATAAATCAGAAATTTTAAATTTGCACCATATATAAATCTGTTTTTCAACTATTAAATCGTCACCATAACACCCACTAAGAATTTAAACTTTCCAAATTTATTTTTTCATTTAAGTTGCCATTGAGATGTTAGAGAAGCTCCAAATTAACCCTAGTTAGGCGTTAAAAGGAATTACCCGAATTTTAAATCACCATGTATATTCAATTTCGTAAAGAGGAATTCCCAACCAAGAAATTGATTTATTTGTTGGTATCATCGCATTAAATGAAATTATAATAAAGTATTGTTCAATAATTTTCAGACTGGTAATGAGATGAGAAAGAAATCAAAAGACAAAGATTTCGAAATATCAACGAAAACATACTCAGTACAAAACTTAAAGAATAAAACAAGCTTGCTCTATGGATCATTCATAAAAACGGAAAGACTCACCGAAAATGGCACTGAACATTACAATGTTCCTATATTAGAGACTGAGCCTTTAAAATCTTACCAAGGAATGACTGATGAAGAACTGTTTGCTTCTTGTGAAGGAAGAACTGTTCATAAAGGTAGCATTACTAAGAATGTTGAGTGTTACAGGGTAACCTGGTTATTCTTTATTGTAGGTGCTCGACATGGTTTAAACCTAACTGGAAAACTATTAAGAATCGAAAAACAAGAAAAGATGCTGCTCAAAAAAATGAAAAAAATTTCCTTATCTGAGGATAGCTGCAGTAAAGCTGACAGGAAATTAAAGAAACTAGAAAAGCACAAGCAATGTGAGGGAAAGATTACATCCCTGGCAGGCAAAGATGATACCCCATCCACTTCTCAGATTTCCACTTCCAAAAAATCAAAGAAACGAAAGAGTGTTACATTTTACGAAACTGTAACCAAAATTTACACGGAACCAGATAGCAAAGTTGTACCTGTGAGGGATGACAATAGTGGTTCGGATGAAGGAATTGAGAAAGATTTGCTAAACAATAACAATGAGGTGAATGTGGACCATGACAGAGCGTTTGAGGAAACCAGCAGAATGGATATGTCAACCCAAAAAAGAAAATTCTTTGAAAAACGCAGAATGGAAGCAAAACTGTGTTCCACAGCAAGCAAATTTTTGGAAAGCGTCTCTACTAAAACCGAAGACCACGCAATGCAAGTAGAAAAACATTGTACATCGAAAAAACGCAAACGCCTGGAAGAGAAAGTGGATTTGAGCAACAAACGGAAGTCTATTGAAACTCCGGAACTGTCGAAGAAAAAGAAAAACAAGAAAAAGAAACATAAGATTAGCCCAGAGGAAGCAAAAGTTATGAAATCTATTAGTAAATCTCTTAAAAGTTTTTGTCGCATTTCTGAAAGTAACTAAAAATAAAGTTTCTTTTCCGTTCAATTGCAATTGCGCATCGTTTTAAATTCATGCAATTTTTTCGAGTTAAATGTTTATTTTTTATTTACTTTGTTATTCATTAGACTAAAATTACATTTTATTTAAAGTAATTCTCATTAAGTGTCAACAAAAGAAACGCTTCAAAAAATATTTTTAATGGTGAAATTTTGCTATTAACTTTAGTTTCGAGTTTTCGAAGATAAGTTCGAATGTCCAATTGGGAGAATAAAGAATCTTGATACTACTTCCTCGACCATATTTTCCGTTTATACGTACGGATATATTAACAGTTACTTTGAATATGAAGAAGAAGAAACCTAATATAATGCTATTCCTCCCATGTTACATTACTACTACGTTTAGTTTAGTTTATCTACTACTAGTAGATTGACAACATCGAAAAAATAGTTKAAATTTTTTATCTCCTTTCCAAAATCAAGATACRAAAATGCTATATTTTTAGGTAAGTTCCTTCAAAAAATYATTCGAATTTAATAGCAGCGTACATAYTTCTATTAATAAATTGGGTAAAATGTCCCTATCTAAAACTTCTATGCTTAATTTCCTTAATCTAGTTGCGGTCAAGTTAGCTGCTTGATACTGTAAACAACGTTATCACATTTCGTTAAAAGAGGCGTATTTTTTTAATGTATCTTGAAAACAATTCACTCTTTTGCTAGCAGATTTTTATATAAAATGACCTAAGAAATCACTCCCTTCAATATTGCGAGTCTCCCTGTGGAAATAAGTTTCCTTATAAAAKTGTGCAACTTTACCATGTTTTATAGTGCGAAATAAATGTGRATTTTAGAGAAAGAAAATATCTATCTCTTGTGTTAAGGTAGAATAATTTCTAGTRGGTTTATTATCTTTGGAGTGAACACACACACTGTTTAGAATTGTTTGAATACAGCTGACGTCACCACGCTAACGAGCAAAGTCTTTGGCTTGTGACTTGTTAAGAAGAGCTACTTTCTCTATGGAAAAGTTGAGGTTAGACTTAAAGTCAGTCCAAGTGCCAAAGCAAAAGTTCCATTTAAAAATAAAGATTTTTCCACGTTATTAATTCGTATAGGTAAGTTTACATTTGGGGCTATTCATAAACTTTCACGATTAAAAGTTTAGATATGGGCAACGTAGGGGAAAAAGTGCAAGCGGCTGAAGTAGTATCGTCCGCTGCTACAGTAAATCCCTCTGAACCCCCTAAGAAGCTGAAACCCTGCTGTGCCTGCCCGGAAACGAAGAAAGTCCGAGATCAATGGTAAGTCTACTGCAGTTCGGTATGTCCATTATAACGAACCATTGCCTTTTAGCATAATCGAAAACGGAGAAGAAAACTGCAAAGATCTCATAGAAGCCCATAAAAAGTGTATGAGGGATCTAGGATTCAACATATAAATTACATTTTTGAGTAGTGAATAGTTTGTATATAGCAATGAAGTGAGCGTAAATTGAGTAATTTATTTTTCGTTTTCTGTTTGGGGTTGTCCCACCTGCCGTTACCTAACCTAAGATAAATGGTTGCTTTTGCTGCGTGTTGTCTTTTCMTCAACCCTTAAGAAAACCATAGATAAAGACGAGGACGAAGAAAACATGCCTGTAACCGAGCAAATTCATAAAGAACTGTCGTGCGAAGAAAAGGATGCAGCTGCATTTTTAAGAGAAAGGTTTTTGTTTCTTGTTGCATCTTTGCCGGGTAAGTCCAAGTGTTGCAACAGAAGCAAAAATAACGCTTCCGAAATTACTAATTGCAGTTAAACCGAGTAATATCACTATGCATAACAATACGGAAGTATCAGCACAAATAAGGGCATTCGATTTGCCATTCGAGAATGTGTTTGTAGAAAACCTACAACCTTCCAATTCTCCTGCAGTGATTCCAAAAGGCATCCTTCGAACCAGTGATATATTGACTATTTCTTATAAAGACATGTAAGGAATTGAAGTGTTTTTAAAAAGGTTTTTTTTTTGTCAACCCTTTAAAATTATATCATCATGTCATGGTAGACAAACTTAAGAATGTACCCGCTGATGTGTTAAGGACGTTACGATCTGCATATGTTTCTAATCGAACAAGCATACGTTCAGTCCCATTGAGCTTTCTCTACAAGTCACTTTGCAAGTAAAATTCTATTTCGATGGAAAACAGCATCAAACTACCTACCCCTTTAATCACCTAAATATAAATTAATTATACATTATTTGATTATTGTGGTAGTCTTTGTTTTAGATGTTTTTTCACATAATCTTTAAGTATTGAGATTTACTTACTTTTATCAGTTTACTGTTGCAAGAAACATGTTGTTATTTTTTTGTTGTTTTCTTCAACAACTTAGAACTTATTTACTGGAAAGTATTCAGAAATCGAGTTACTAACAGGCTAAAATCGGAAAATCTGTTACAAATCAATAAAACAGAGTTCCTCTACTTTTATCAAATAAAAGTTTTATTTCCATAATACCTCAACCATAGTTTGAGTGGTTTGGTGCGTTTCCATTGGGTTCTAATAACGGTTCAAGGTCAGAATGAGTTTGTAATTTATAATTTGTCCTTGTCCTGATACGGTACGCCGATATCACTATAGGAGATAAACCGGACACTTAACTAGTAACTTTCTTTAGTGTGTTCAGCAGTGTTTAGTAACTTTATTTAGTGTGTGGACCATCAAACAGGATGGGCGTAACAGTGGTAGAAAATAAAAATGAAGTTATAGTGGCATTGTCCAAGTTAATAGAAGCAACTGCTACAGAAAGCATTGAACGAAACGGGGTGTTTAACATTGGAGTATCAGGGGGTTCGCTTGTTTCCTTCTTAGCCACAGGTTTGACGAAGATTTCAACCGATTTTAGTAAGTGGAAGATATTTTTTTGCGATGAACGACTAGTGCCTGTGGCTGATCCCGACTCTACGTTTGGGGTCTACAAGAAGCAATTAATTGACACAGAAGCCGTAAGCCTTAAGGAGGACCAGTTTGTCACTGTTAAACAAGGCGTTTCTGCTGCCGAAGCCGCTGAAGAATATGCCGCAAAAATCAAGAAATACATACCTCTATCTCCTTTGCCCCGATTTGATCTACTGCTGCTGGGCATGGGCCCCGACGGGCACACCTGCTCTCTGTTTCCTGGACATGCTTTACTAAATGAGACGGCCAAATGGGTGGCTCCAATCACGGATTCTCCAAAACCGCCTCCTAGTCGAATAACATTAACTTTTCCCGTTATAAACGCTGCTCGGGTATGTGCGTTTGCAGTGTCTGGAAAGGAAAAGGCTGAAATGATTAAGCGCATCCATGTGGATAAGGAGGATTTGCCAGCAACCAGGGTTCAACCTACATCTGGAAATCTCCAGTGGATTGTTGACAAGGATGCGGGGGCCCTGTTGAATTAGGGTTAAGTAGTCAGTTGCATCTACTACTGTTTAAATAAAAAAATATAATTACATTCCGTAATTTGATTTCAAATAGCTTCATACAATTGAATAAAGTGATGATGAAACAGATTTTAACATGTAGAGCTTGAAGCTCTGGCCTATGCGACGATGTCAAATATAAGGAGCTTAACCATTATCAGTATATGTGCAAGTGAGAAACTAAACAAAGCACCATAGACAGAGACAAGTTGTGTGACTATTTGTCTCTGCCATAGATAAAGACAAATCCACAGAACATCCCCCCTGGGGGAATATTTTGTGGACAAATCAGTGCACGACCTTTCTGTCAATGATTAACCAATGAAATGTCTGTGACTTCTGTTTTTTCAAGCTAAAGGAAGTTTTTAATAAGAGCCAATTCCTTTTGTGAGTGGAAGAATATATTGGACGTAGAATCATCAAAACCAGGTACACAACTGTTTTACACTGAATAGAATATAATAGCCTAAACGCGAAAGGTTGTGTTTGTTTCACCGATGAAAAGATTCCCTAAGCTTTCGAACAAGTTATCAAGGTAAGAAATGGTAATTTCTCGGTTCCCACAAGGAACACAGACTTCTCGGTAGTTTATGCAGCTTTCCCTTATATTAAATCATGGGATTTTTTCTACTGGATTTATTACCAATTACCTATCAAACAGTTCTGGTTACGTTTTGTAACATAAAAGTTGCCATGTTGTGTTGTGAATGTGGCGGCAAATTCGAATTCTTCAGATACCTACCTCTGTATTACAGGTAACTAAACCCCATTTAAGCCTACGGTAAGTTACAGAATACGAAAGATACTTCGCGAGATGTGATCTGACTTTAACAGCTAGTCGGCCCTAACTAGTGTTTCTATTACAGATATTAATTTTTTTAAATATTTCAAGTTTATCTTGAAAAATGGAGCCTGCGGCACCGGGCACAGAAGATGAAGTGGTCAATTTTAAGTCCCTGAATAAAAAGGTAATTATACATTGGTACTAATTTGATGATTGTGGTTGTACTTTCTTTTAGTTAAATTTGTATATAATTGTTAGGTAAGTATTGATATTGACTTACTTATCAGATTCTCAGAACATTTTTATTCGTTCTCTTTTTCCTAGAAATTATTTAATTTTTATGTTTTTGCCAATATGTGAACAAATTGGAAAGTTGTTTAGTGTACGGTTTTAAAGTCATTTTTCAATCATAAAGTGCTTGTAACACTGAATAATAAATACCACTAAAGTATGTGCAAACTAAGAAGTTAATGTACTGGTTGGTTGTAAGCTAACGCAACTTTATAGGAGAATAAAGGCTCGCAAGTATGAGAAATTATTTCACGTTTAAACAGATTTTTTTTTCCTTTTTTAATTTTTTAAACTAATTTTAATCTTTTTCCTAAATACTAAACATATCTCTACACAGAACAATTTGAAATTATTAATTTGTTTTTTCAAGAAAAGTGTAAGTAGATATTCTTAATGCGGTTATAATTTTCAAAATCAACAACGAGTTGTGAAACAGTTTTTACGCAAAATTAGCATAGATTTGAAAATGAATCTAAATGCGACAATTTAAAGTAGGTCGTTACAGTTCAGTTACAGTATCAGTGGGTAATAACAAGTTTCTTATTTTGAATGAAACAACATCCCGTATAATAATAAATTTTTGGATTCTTCACATATCTTTCACTGTTTCGGGAATATTTCATGTTTTCAGATTTTTCGTAAAAGTTGGAAATTAGATCTCTATCAATTTCTTATAGATTCGAGTCATTTCTTACCAGCTTCTGCAAGTTCGCGCCCCCTCCTCCGCTGGAGCATCTTCAATAAACACACAAACACTACAGTCTCACTTTTTCGTGCTCAAATGCAAATATTGTCCGATATTTGCGAGGCGTGATATTCCAGTTATAAACACAATTGCAAGACTCGATAAGACTGGAAATGTATTTCGTTCGTTGTTTGGAACAAATCTTTATTCACATTTTCAACGCTTTACGCCCCGAACTCACTACGATTCCTAACGCACCTCGCAGTACTAACATAATGATATAATCATTTGCTTGACCGTCCCTTTGCCGTTTAATACATTTTTTGTCTCCTTTGTTGATAATAGTACAGACAGTTGTAGAGAATTCCAATTCATATTGCAATATTTTCGCAAGCAAATTTCATGTTCAAACTCGTTTGGATGAAATATTACTCTCCCAGCCAAAGATAAACAAATCCGCTCAGGAATGCAATTGATTGTTTATATAAAATTAAGTGCCGCCAGTTTTTACACTTTAGAAGGTTTAGAAGTTTTAAAGTTACTTCAACTATACAGGGTGCTCCAAAAAATCATATCATAATTGTTTTCTTAATAAAACATCTTATTTAATTAGTGATTAATTCAGTTTCAATAAGATATATTGTGAAATAATACATTCCATAATAAAGCCATAATGCCGGTCTCCTGGATTTCTTATAAAAATATTTTCCGTTAAAACATCAGTATCAAATTGCAATTATCCGAAACCGATTGATTTTAGAGATTCTATGTTATAATATTCGTTAGACAAGAATTCGATTTTCACTAGTTGAACCTAAATCATATTTTGGGGTGTCCCATTTAAAGTAAGCGGGAAAATTGATGCGAAAAATATTTTATTTTAAAACGCTAATTTTCGAACAAATATAAAGAAGCATAGAAATTCAATTTCTATCAAGTAAGTTAAAGTGTGCTTTTAGTAAGAGAAGAAATTATGCAGCTTGGATAACTATTGACGCTGTACTTACTTTACATCATAATAGATGTTGCTTTCTGTATTTGGGTTGATCGGTCAATCGGCAGAAACAAACGACTATTTTTCTTGCGCCAACGTTTCGACTTTATTTATGCCATCATCGGCGCCAGTGCACATTACACGTGCCTCTGTTGCATGCTCTGGCCATTATTCTACGGTAGAAATACACTAAATTATTGAGCCCATATGATGGCTTAAATATATCCAAAACTTTGGCCCTACAATAATAGTCGTTTTTTTTGCGACTAGATTGACCGATCAACCCAAACACAAAGCAACATTTACCACTAATTATCATCACGGTCACCAAGAAACTTCAATATCAGTTTTTCATATCTTTATTGTGAAACGTTAATTAATTATGATTTCCCAATATGTGTCATTTATTATAACTTCACTACTACTCACACAATTTGATAATCTGAGTAAGGGTAGATAAAATCTACAAGCCATCTTAACGATAGTTTCAAGAAAAATGTGCGGTGAATTTTAACTTCAATTTACTTGAATTTGATCTCAGCTAAAATTGGGCCTGCAGTTCAAGCTCTACAGTTTGCTCCTTTTGTTGTTTAGTGCCAAAAAATGAAAAGTGAATGTGTGTTTGCAGTCGGCGTGAGATCATTCAAATTTGAATGGTCTTTTCTATCAACTGAGGCTTTTAGGTTGTATTGTGTTCAATACAACTTTGCAAGTGGATATACAAGAACTTCTTAAATATTTACTTGTCGCGATACGCGATGCGGTAATATGTACAAAGTATTACATTTGTTTAAATTTTTAACAGTTTTGTTAAAAATTTCTTCAGTCATTTGGGACAATATTGACGAAGAATTTCTGAAATTGAAAAACTCCTAAAAGCTACTGGCAATCGGTTTCTTCAATTCAAATTGCAATGTAATCGGTTTTTTGTTTTCTTTTGCAAAATCGGGTTCTTTCATTCACAAAAGATCTAATCAATCGGTTATAGTGAATCTACAAAAGTCATCAGCAATTATTAATACATAATTGAAAGGTATTATTGAATACATCAAAAATGTATTCAGAGGAAACTTTGAACGGAGCTTCTTTCTCGAAATATGCACTGTAGATATAAGTATACTTCTCTTATAACAAATTGAATTTGTATTTAAATGAGTTGGAATAATTGACTTCATTTGATGTCAATCTGTTCACCTCATAGTCATAAAATATTCCAAATAAAACTTTTCCGCGGGCTACACTAGTGTGCTTAAAAAGTGGTTGATAAATTAAAATTATAAGAGGTTCAAGTTTAATATAAGAAATAAGTATACATGATTAGCAGTCACTTCAATTGATTTTCATTTATAGGAGACTGAGAACGACCGACTGTTGAAAATAAAAGCAGTTCTCAAAAATGGACAGCTCGATAATGTTTTTGAGCTTACCTATGTCAATGGAGGTGAACATTGGTTCTGTAGGGTGAGTATTATGATAATAAGATCACTTCATCAATCAATAATGTTTGCAATACGACAAATTTCAAGGAGGCAAAGCGAAAAATTAAACAATGTTAAATAAAAGTTTATTAATTAAAGAAATACGAAGCAAAATACACAGAAAGGATCTTCAAATCTAATTTTACATTTGATGATTTTTTCGATTTTCTTTACTGGCAAGTGTGTTTTGTTTAATCTATAAACTATTTCATATAAACATAAAATGCGTGTATTACTTTAATTTATTGTATTGGATTTTGTAGATATGCGAATGTCCTATTATGGGTAGAGTATACCAACATGAATTGGGACGAAGACATTCCATAAACATGACTGCAGCACTAAACCGTCCTGGAAATAGAGATTTTAAAGAAGTTATTCCAATGGAAAGCGAAGAAACTCCACAGCTAGAACTTGCTGTAGGTGAGCCGTTGCCTCCTGGATTTGAAGGCGAAGTTACGCGCAAAGCACAAATTCAGGTAACATTTTTAAATCATCTAGACTTGGTAGTTTTCTTATGAATTGAAGTTGATGAGGCATCTGTTGTAGGATCGTCTCGATGGTTTCAAAGTTGGACCTTTAGTTGCTCTGGAATATCTCATTGAGATGTCCGACTATGATATCTCCAAAGAGCCGAGCTATTTATGCATTTTGTGTGATAAAAAAGGCGACCCAAGAACGGTATTAACACATCTGGCTAGTTACAATCATATTTCGCAGGTAAGTAGATTATTTTTCTATTCAAAAGAATCACAAGAAAATCCAAGAATGTATTCTACTTAAAATTTGTTTTCATTCGTTGCAGTATTTGCAGAAACATTTTCCAAGTTGCTATCGAAGTCTTGCTCCTTACATGACGAAACAGTATAAAAGAAACTGGCAAATTGTATTGCAAAAAATAGCCGAAGCTATTGAAAAGACCTTCGGTCGTTTAAAACCCTTTTGCATTGATCAGGATAAGTTTAAAAATGAACGCATGTTTTATTTGTCCAAGATATCGAAAGGGCCTCATTTCTATGAGCAACCTGGTAAAACATTTGTTGAACTAGTTGTGCACGAGCACTTAACCAAGACATTTGAAGGTAAGTTCAAGTTCAAAATCCTACTTTATTGCTTTAGTTTTTGTGAATGAATCAAAATGTTATTTTTATTAAATTCGATAAATCTCATTAGTTTTCCTAGCCAGCTCAGCAGCAGCTGTGATGATTAGCGAATTATAGTTATTTGGAGATATTATAAAATATATAATGAAAGCCTGATAAAATTCATGTTATTTAAAAATATTATTAAACTTGTCAAGTTTCCTGGCATTACAATAACACAATATTCAATCCGCAGTAGAAGAGGCGCGCGCAGTGAAAGCGAATGCGACAAGTTTTGGGGAAAAAACCTTCACTGAGCCTGTTAAGCAAACAATCAAGCGTAGTCCATCACCTCCTGTTGTTGCAAATCCGGTCAAAAAAATGCGCACACCTTTGGTCCAATCAAAGAAGCCTACTGGTGTATCTCGTCGTCGAAGTCTGTCTAGCGTATCAAGCATATCCAGTGATGAAGATAAAACAAAAGCGAACGTCAAACATTTGGCTCGAAACCGTTCACCTCCTAGAGATACCAAACGATCTTTCGATTCAAGAATAAAAGAGAGGTAATATTTGCTTAAAATTAGCTCAACCACATAACGACCTATACACTCGTACATACCGTAGCCCAAGTTGCTAATAAAATTTAATTCATCGCATTTTAGGTCGTTTCGGCGTCGTTCGCCATCTCCAAGGCGGCGATCATCATCTCCAAGACGTCGTTCGGCTTCCAGGCGTGTCTCGCTTTCTCCAAGGCATAAAAGGGCAGATGATGATGAACGCAGAAAGAATCGAGAGAAAGAAAAACTGCAGAAAGTCGAAGAATTTCATAAACTCTCCAAGGCAATAGAAAATGACATTTCCAAAACTCTCAAACAGCACGAAAAGAACCCAGAAAAACACCCGAAATATAATGACGAATGGAAATTGTTTTGGAATAAGAGGTAATATTACTCATAATCGCTATATATGTCTAATAAGTAGTCATCATTTTCAATATCTTAAATTCATTTGAGTTACAACTGTATGCTATCGTATTATTTATCGTCTACATGCAATACAGATTCGTGAAAGTGCATTGCAATTACTCGAATATAAATCACAAAAATGTATAAAAACAAGCAAACGATTTCCAGATACAAAGAACTTCAAGCTGAAGGCAAAGATGCTTCCAAGTACGATTTCAAGCCAGAATGGATTGTGTTTTGGGGAAAACGAATGAAAGAACTTTCCAATGAGGAATTAAAAAGACGGAAAGACGGTTTGAGAAAACGCCTAGGTAACAGATTGCTTATTTGCTGTTTTTTCCTTAGATTGAATGAATAATTATTTCTAGGACTCCCAGAAGAAGTTCAGCCTATTAGCTTTCGCATTGGCGCCGCCACCGTTGTTTCAAAAGGGTCCTCGCTTAAAGAAACTCGAGCACCGAATGCTCCAATGACTGCGCTGCCTGATATTGATCCTGATGTGATTGTACTGGACGACATCAAAGATTCTCCGAAGAAATCAAACAAGTGAGCACTTTTAATACTAACTACTGTTCAAACAAGGCACCAACATAGGTACTGTCTAACCGACCTTTTGTTGCGGAAATTTTGGAATGGGTTGTTTTAACTATTACTCCTGTTTGTTTACAGAGATAGATCCCATAGTCCTTGGGAAAGCGATTCATCGGTCTCAAGAGCACCATCCCCCAAAGGAAGACGATTATCGCGATCACCGGCTGATAGAAGAAGACGTAGTATGCGCTCCAGATCAAATGACAGAAGAAGCATGGAAAAAAGGCGTTCTTCGGAGAGAAGTCGCAGATCACCAGGTCGAACAAAACGAACATTCGACCGAAGGTCCCCTGAACGAAATAAGCGATCAGACCGACGATCGCCTGATAGGGGTAGGCGATCAACAGAACGACGCTCATCTGATAAAAATAGAAGATCTTTAGACAGACGTTCAAGGGATAGGAGATCGAGGTACAGTTTTTTATAGATATTTTTGTATCATTTGATAATTTACCATTTTAGGTCGCGAGACTCTTATAAAGCGCCCAAAAGCTTTGTAAGAGACAGGGATTTAGACAAACATTTAACTGAGATAAGCCGGGAGCGGGCAACTCGAGAGAGTTCCTTTGAACGTGATATGAGGGCCAAAGAACGCATTAGAACAGTCGCCGAACTTCCCTGGGAAAGAGAAAAAAGTGAGTCTACAGTAAGCAAAATAAGCATTCCCAATAAATTATTTGCTTTTATAGTGATGTATGCTACACCCCGCATGCCTATGGATGAGTTTTACTCTTCATCCATGATGCGGGATTCGAGATCTGCCACTTTCATGCTTGCAGATGCGGATAATGAACCCGATGACGGCGAGGTAAGACTATATAAATATTTTAACTTTCTCAAATACTCCCAAACCAATTTAAGAGAGGGAATTTTATAACATCTATTTTCATTAATATTAATTTTTGAAGCAGGTCAACATTGTATCAGTGTTGAGGTTGCTGACTGCTTTAGAAGAGAGATTAGGAGCTCTGGGTCCCAAAATCATTGACTTACTCGCGCAGGCATTAGCTTTGGAAAAGAAGGAAGCAAACAGTAGTGAAACACTGCTGGATAATGAAATTAATTGTGTGATGTTCGAAACGGTAGGCGATTGTTATTGAAAATACATCTTTTACTGGATTATTAATTGATGTTGATGTAAAGGTGAAAGAAAAGCTGAAAGGTCAGCTACTAGCGGGATTGGTAGATCCAGTGCAAGAGCGCGCATTTAAAAAGGCTATTCGAAAAACCGCAAATTTAATTCATTTAGGCAGCCAGCGTAAGAAAACTCAAGCAGCGCCTGGTAGGGTATGAATATTGTATTTGGGCTCTAGTTTTCAACTTTGTCTCAGTTCCAGGAGCAGTTGCTGTACCGGGAGTGGGCTCGGTAGATAAAGCTGCTATAGCGAAACAGTTAGCGAATGCTCTAATAGCTCAAGGCAAAACTGACGTAACTCAGGCAGAATTAGAACAACTAATTAATGCTGTGGTAAGTAATTGCCCATTTGGGTCGTACTTTAGTTCCACTTCGCTCTTTCTTTGTAGGTTGGAATGGCAGAAGCGTCTAAAGCCTCAAATAAACCAATCACGGCTGCAAATTTTCTGTCGCAACTGGCAGGCTCAAGTTCTGAATCAAAAAGTGAAAAAATTAATCGTCCGACTAGTGATGCCAAATCTAAGAACTACGATCCATTTTCCTTAGATGGCTTGACAGAACCTTTGTCGCCCAGTACGCCTGAAAAATCAACGACAAGCACTATGGAAAATCTGTCTGACTCGGACCTGCAAACATTGCTGCAAAATTTCAAGGATTTATCGACTGAAGAGCAAATGAACTTAATCAATTATTTAAAGAAGTTGGAATTGAATGAACCAGAGAGGGTTGAAAGGTAAGTGAGTATACATACATATAGCGAAAAATCCGACTCTTATTTAAAAATTTAAATTTATTTAATGTAAAATAATGTAAGGAACAACTGAAATAAACGCATCAAATCCAAAACATATCGTCGCAAATATTCAACAAAAAAAAACAAATTATATGTCTTAGAGTTGCGAGTTTTTGAAACTTTTTTGTGCGATTTGTATCAGTTTGCGTAACAATAGCGTAAGATTTTTAATTTTTCTCAACCATCGATTTGTTGGCTGTATTTATTTCATTCCCAGATTATTTCAAGAATCTATAAAATACTAATACCGTTTTATTTAAATATGTAGACCTAATATAATAATCATTGCGACTACACGTTAACACTGAATAAATAAATATATCTGATTGATTAAGCGTGATTCAATAGGTCATAAATTGCATTTAATGGATTTCGAGCTGTTGCTTTGCGCGAAATGTGCTCAGTTTGTAGGTTGGGCGAAACAAAGTCCCAATTTACTCAAAAATTGTCTAACGTCTGAATGTATTGCTTTTTGCTCAATTGCCGCTCATGTATTCTATATCCCGAACTATACTTCTTTTGTACTTTACATAGTAAATATATAAATAGTTAGAGAAGATAATGTTGCAGGTTAAGAAAGTTTGTGACTCTAGCCGACAAATCATCTAACCCATCTGAAGTGGTGGATTTGGACACTGAACCCAGCCCAAAAAGAAAATCAAGCCCATTTTGTAATCGCATGGGAGACATCAATACCAATGTGAAAGCTAAAAATGACGATAAATCCATAAATATTCATCTGGACTCGGAAGATGAAGATTATAGTTATGAAGGTTTGAATGTTGTTTTTATTATTTAAATTTCGTACTAATTTTGCTTTACCTTTCAGATGTAGTTAAGGCTGCGTCTAAAAATATTAAGCAGAAAGAAATGGAGGACAATCGAAAAATTGTCGAAGACTCCATAGTATTTAGTAGCGCACAAAAAGAATCTAATTTGGCTGATGCTAAGGCATTAATTTCAAATCTGATGAGCACTCTAAGTGGAGTGACGGCTGCTGGTAATATGTTAGGCATGTCATCTGGTAATAATACAGCGTCTGCAAAAAGCACTACTATTTCCACATCCTCTGCGGAATTTTCAAAGACATTGAGTAGCATCAATATGGATAGTTTAGCGAACATCGTCAGCAATGTGCAGAGAGCAACGCAGGATCGCAATCGTACTACATTTTCAGTTGAAAAGGATGGCAATTCCTCTGGGCAAGATCGGTAAGAATTTGTTGCGAGAAGTTGCTTTCGAAATTGTCACTAGAAGAATATTTATGTTGATTTAGTTTAAGTTTTAATAATTTTTTGTCTCTATTAGAAATAGATTTAATCGGCCCGGATATAACTATCTACCGCCCAATAATATGCCCATCAATAGGCCCAGTTCACAAATGAATGACGTTCAATCTCTGGGATTTGATCTATCTCGAAGTCTACAAGCCCCAGGAACGGGAGTTCCAGCTCGGCTGCCGGGTGTTAGACCGATGAATACATTCGGACCGGGATCCGCACCAGTTGGATCTCCCTCGGCAATGCACATGAACATGAGACCGAGAGGTGGACCGGGCTTTGCTCAATTTCAAAGAGGACCTCCGCCAAATCAGTTTGGAAACACCAATTATATGAACCAGCAGCGGCCACGTCAACCTTTTAACTCTAATTTCAACAGTCAAAGACCAGGCGCCCCTAGAGGTTCCAATTTCAACAATTGGTAATATATTGCAGAATGATGTTTAATGCATATATTTAATGAATTGCCATTAAATTATAGTAAAAAAATACAGCTTTAAATCAATATTTTTTTATGAGTATGAGTTATAATCACATAGTTTGCCACAAGTATGCTATTTAGAAAGGTACTCTTTGTAGTGCAATTTGAAACAACCGTTTTCAATTAAATTTTTTTTATCATCAAATGAGTTCTTATTTAGCTATGTACTTCCCTTGTTGCGTTTAGCCAACAACGGAATTGAAATTCTATTTTCCAATATTGGAATATCCATTGTTCCGAATATAACTGGCATTTTTTAGAAAATCTAGAATTCCACTTGCCATGACAATGTTTTGATTCTCTCTGGGCTTTTCGTCCTGTGATTTTCGACTAATAGAGGTAAAGTTACTTATGAATAGGTACTTTATCTTTACATTATAGTATTAAATTAAACTTAAAACTCGTATACATTCACCCATTCTTTATAATAATTACGGAAAGTCTGTAAATGTTTTCTCTCAATAACAGTGAAAAATGTGAAAGCCCATTAGAATCCAAGACCTCTTTCTAAAAATCTGTTTCTAAACAAAACCGATTTTGTTTGTAGTTCAGATAGAATATCAATTGACGCACTGCCAAAAATTTCGGGGCAAAATTAAAAATGTGTAGATTATAAACCGGTTGCATCTTCACCATTTCAAACCCTCGTAAATCGGAAGCAAAGGGAGAAATTTGATACTTTACTCATCAAATACGTTCAACAATTTTCCTATCAACTTGTGCATGTGTGTTATTAACATATTAAAATATTTGCTGATAAACGGATTTTATTAATTCTAAAAATCGAATACTTATTTTGCATTCAAATAATCACAAATATATCCTTGAATGCACCAGAAATCTCATCTCTGTCAAACTTTTCGTTGAGCGTTCCTCGTTATAGCACACAAAAATGGGGAAAAATTAATTTCCTGGAAGTAACAGCAGTCTAAATAAAACGGAGCTAAAAGTAGTTTGAAATATAATTGGCAGCAGATATTCTCGCTCTTCTTGGTTGTTTAGACGTTTGGAAAGTTCGTTCACAAAAGGCTGCTCAGAGAGTAATCCTTTTGACTTTAATTGAATATTTCTATAATTTTATAAAATGAAAGATGTTTTTATTAGAAAGAAGCATTTTGTAAAAAGTTATGTTTAGCATTACGTTGAAAAATAACCCCAGGTTAGCGCAAAGAACCTTCCTTGCTAGTCTAATATTTAAAATAGAAAAATGTTAATTTCCTCACAATGCATCCAGATAGTTTTTCGAAATTTTACGGAGATCAAAAGCCAAGAGAGATGTCTAAAATTTGGCCATGCAACCCAACTTTAATTGGTGCAAATGATTTTAAAGATGATTTTAGAGGTAAAGAGCGCCAAAAATGTGTGTTAAAAAATCTGATGAAAGTTCATTTGAAAAACCGTTTAGGATATCTAATGACGTGCCGAGGGAAAGAATCGCAAATTTTTTATTTTTTTTCCTCCGGCCGGTCCTGACCATTACTCGCTTGCACCCTGGAACTACCCGCGCGCCCTTCGATCGAGGTCGGGTTCCAAGGGGACTTCGGGGGAGCGGTCGGAAAGAAAAAAGGCATCGATGGTCAGTCCCAAACAACCCTTTGCGTTCATAGATGGCAGCAGGTTAGCGCGGGTCCAACAAAGTGCGAGGGAGTGAGCTATCTATACTTGTCTTTATCTATGGTCCCAAAGGAGTGTGCTAAACGGCAGGGCGGGTGTTTGGGCCCTTTCGTTTTTTTTTTGTTCCGGGACGCCCACTCAACGCCACGCAAAGCGGCCATTGTTTTTTTTTTAAACCAAATCCTGTTTTTTCCGGGGCATCCTAGCCCCTAGAAACTCGAATCGCGGAAGGTGACTGTGCGCGACCCGTCAGTGACAAGACTCACCAGTTTTTTTTT